ACAGGTGGCAATTAAAGAAGGAGGATGAAAAGGAAACAGAGTGAAAGAAATAGGAAAACTGATAACAAAGAAGTTGATTTTCTCTAGGTCTGTTTGACCATTGAGTCTGACTTTACAGCTTCACCTTCAAGGGATTGGCTACCCAGAGGTTGATCCGGCATCATCATCTTCTCAGTAAACCTTAGCTCCTCATAATGTGTGTCTCCAACTAAGCATCTTCTAGACCTTGTTAGAAATGCAAGCTCCTACTTCAGACCTGCTAAATCAGAATCTGCATTTGATAGTGTGTTTTGTAAGCACTTTATAGTTTGAGAAGCACTGTTGTAAAGCAGGTGGCCAGACTAGCAGTGTCAGCATCCCCTGGGAACTTGTTAGAAATCCAAATTCTCAGGCACCTTCTCAGGCCTCCTGAATTAGAAAGGCTGTATTTTGACGACTCCGATGTACCCTAGAGCTTGAGAATCACCGCTCTAAGTCATGGAACAGATGGATTGAACCCCCTCCCCTTGGGTCTGTAGCACAGAACACCAGAGGGATTGGTTAAACCCTGAAAGTTAAAATGGAGTCATTGTTCTATGCTGTTTCTCTCATCATTTTGCATTAAACACAGCTGAAGAACTCTTTTCACTGAAGAAGGGCACTATGCGTAAAATTGCAAACCAGAAGGGGGGAGCTTTGGCTGAAGCTTAATCCTCACGACTTACCCATCAAAAGTTATTGAGCACAATTATAGGAGATCAGTACTTTATGTGCTGTTGCTCCTGTGGGACACTATTAGTAAGACACACATAGGAAAACAAGGAATCTCCCGATATTTCTTACAATGTGATTTTCACATTTAAATGTCCACCGTTTTTGTCTTCTGTGATTCTAATCAATTTAATGGAAAGTTCCCTTTTTATAGGTTAGTTTCTAGAGTGACTTGCAGAAGTGATGGTGGTTTACCACTTAGACTAGAATGCTTTTCAAAAAGTTGAACTGGGGGCGCCTGGGTGGCGCAGTCAGTTAAGCGTCCGACTTCAGCCAGGTCACGATCTCGCGGTCCGTGAGTTCGAGCCCCGCGTCGGGCTCTGGGCTGATGGCTCGGAGCCTGGAGCCTGTTTCCGATTCTGTGTCTCCCTCTCTCTCTGCCCCTCCCCCGTTCATGCTCTGTCTCTCTCTGTCCCAAAAAAATAAATAAACGTTAAAAAAAAAAAGTTGAACTGTAAGCAGTAAAAATTTACCTCCTTTCATCAAAAATGTCTGGTTTTTCTAGTTTCCTAGTCATTATTCAAGTCACTGTGATAACGTAAATAAGGGTCAGTGTCTGTTTTCTGTATATATATAATGTACAACAATAGTTATATATTGAGCATTTTAATCATGAAGTTACCTATATTTTCTGCTGCAGGTTATATAGTACATTATAGCCAGTGGCATAGTAAACCAGTTCGGTGTTGGGAGGGTGGGGGGGATGAATGCATGTCACAGTTTATGGTGGTTGCTAATTTCCATGGTGTAAACACTCCCTCCTGGGCTGACTTCAAGCTACCAACAGTTAAACAACCAGCTACCCAGATTCCCACACACTTAACAGCTGACTCTTGTAAAGCCAGTAGGAACTAGCTCGAGTATACCACTGAACAAACATTAAGGGACAGGCCACAGTTTTTTTGATTGGTGTGTTTGAATTGTGATAGGTCCAATAATAGCTGAAACAAGTAGATTTGGGTGTTTAAAATCTTCTGTCATGTAGAGATTTTTATTGAAATTATAATTATTTTTTTGTCATGTAGAGATTTTTATTATAATTATGGAATTTGATCTGAAATTATTCTGAGACAAAGTTATATGCAAATGCCCAATCTCATTAAATACAACAACATTAAATTACAACATAATGGCATTATTCAAAGTCTTTGTGTTGCTAAAGTGGTATGTTTAATTTTAAAATACCATTCATTCTGGGGAGCCTGGGTGGCTCAGTCAGTTAAGCATCCAACTCTTGGTTTCGGCTCAGGTCATGATCTTTTATGGTCATGCGGGTTATGAGTTCGAGCCCCATCTTGGGCTCTGCACTGCCAGTGCAGAGTGTGCTTAGGATTCTCTCTCTCTGCCCCTCCCCTGCATGCATGCGTGTTCTCTCTCTCTCTCTCTCTCTCTCTCTCTCAAAATAAATAAACTTAAAAAAAATACCACTCATCCTATAGTAAGGCATGTGGAAAAATTACTTTTTTTTTAAAGTAGGCTCCATACCCAGCATGGAGCCCAACCCAGGGCTTGAACTCAACTCAAGACCCTGAGATCAAGACCTAAGCTGAGATCACGAGTTGGATGCTTAACCAACTGAGCCAGCCAGGTGCCCTAGAAAAATTATTCCTAATCATAGTGTTTGAAGCAACATGCAGAAAGATAGTTTTCAAAATGAGATCTCTGGTTACTATTATTAAAATTTGACTTCTCTTACAGGTATCCAGGAAGGAACGCAGTGTACCAAATGTAAAAATAACTGGGCACTGAAGTTTTCTATCATATTATTATACATTTTGTGTGCCTTGCTAACAATCACAGTAGCCATTTTGGGATACAAAGGTAAGTACTCTTTCCTTTTTCCTTCCAAATGGCAGGTTTCTCTATGACTTTAAACATGAAAAAAAAAAAAAAAAAAGACACCCCTGTTTGCAAGTATGAAGTATTTCATTAATTCAGCTCAAACGCACAAGTAAGCAACATGATAAACTTTGTGTCTTGAGCCTCTTGTAGCTGTGGGATCAGAGTCCTTTTGACTCATTTCAACAATAAGAAAGGTCCTCTATGACTTATAAAAATTTTTCTCACTGTTGCATTTTCCTACCTGTTTCTAGTTCCACCCTCTTTTTTCATCTTCTCTCTAAGAGGTGCTATGGAAACCCTGAGTCAGCACACAGGAAAATTGTACTGACACAGGGTAAGCCAAACACAGTCTCCAGAGATACGACTTACTTTACTCAGGGACTGGGCAGCCAGTTCCCTTTTTTCCTCTTCAGCACATTTACTGTGACCACTGTTGTTTATATAGCTCCATAAAAATATTGCCCTGCAGAAGTTAAACACAGAGGGAGCACTGCCACCTCAACAATACTTTATAGGATGTTAGGTATTCTTTCAATGTGTCTGGTTTCAGGTCAGTGGAGAATTATTGCCTCAGACTTGCAAACAAAGCGGGTTCACCACCATCACCACCACACCCATTCTAGATACTGCAGGTAAAAGGTGTCATGATTCAGAATCACAAGCTACATAAACCTTTTTACAGAAAACAGCCATAGAAGCCTTTCCATCAAAGATATGTGAGACAGGCATGTCATCTGGTTTTAGCAAGAGGCAGACGTGGGGTCTGCTAATCTTCAAAACCTTCACTCAGCAGTCATCTCGGCTGCCTTCCCTCAGAACTGACAGATTAACAGTTGAGAATTCCCACAGGTTCTTGGTTCATAGATTTACTCTCCTTGGGGAGAGAAAGATTCAAAGTGAATTCCCCCCAAGCTATAACTTCTGTCTCCTCTCTCCCAGTGTCTAGAAGCTTCCTGAGGAAACCCAATGTGTTGAAATGAGAATGGGCTTTGGAGCCAGATGGTCAAGTTCATTCTTGATTCTGCTGTTTGTAATACAATTAATGTTTATTAAGTGCTTGTTGATATTCTAGGCATCATGCTAAGTCCTCTGCATGGTTGTGTAACCTGGGTATGAAGCATAACTTCTTTGAGTTTACTGTTTCTTAAAATGGCAATTAATAATGCCATTTTTCAAGGTGATTGAGATGAGCAAAGATGATGTCATTGAACCACCTGTCCATCTAGTCCTACTAGATAGTGGCCATATTTCTGTGTTTCCTCTTCATAACTGCATGTATACAGCTATAGCCATTAGAATGGCAAAATGTTAAAAATACTCAATATAGGTGAGGCTTGGAAGTCTCATCTCTGAGGTCACACACGGAGAAAATTATGTGTGTCCTATAGTGTGTTGACTGATGAATTTGAGCACAGTGGGAATTTGGAAAATTACCATGTAATTTTATCCATTTGTGATTAGTTAATCCAACTTAGTATTAACAAAGTAAGTGTTAAGAAAGGTTGTTAAACTGTGGTAAGGCAGGACAAGGAGTAGGGAGGGATCCTAGTGAGGAAAAGGAGGGTCTTTTATGTCCCAGGTAATTCAGACTGGCTCTCCTCCTTTACCAAGTTATTTAGGTCACTGCTCACTTCTCCTTGACTGTTTCCAGCAAACTCAGATAAAGGAGAAACTTGGCAAATGGCCATTTAATAAGTACCTTTAGGGCTTAGTACTATGTGATACCATGAAAGCAAACATTTACTACTGAAAGAGAGATGACAAAGGTTTGAAGAGCATACCACCATATGGGATTTTGTAATTCTTACCACTGCAAAGAAGTAAGATCTGAATCTTGACGCCTTTAGAATGATACAGAAAGATCCAAATTTAGAGGAGAGGTTTTTTTTCTTTGTTTTTAAAGTACAGATGTTTCCTCCATTTTTATGACATTTGAAAGCCCTTCTCAGCTCTGGCATGTTTTGCGTGTGCTGGTCCATTTGCCTGGAACACCTTTTCTCTGCTCTCTACCTAAAATGACACCTTCTTTCCCTTCATGTTTCATTCAGACATACATCCTGCAAGAACGCCCTGAAGGCTGAGTTAGGTGCTCCTGTCACACTGTATCATTATGGCAAGTGGGCTTGTCTGTCTTACCACCCAAACTATAAGTTCCATGAAGACAAGAGACTCCTATCTTTAGTTTGTTATATCTCCCATCTAGCATCTAGCCTCATGGTACTTATTAGGCACCAAGTGAAGTTACTGAATAAATTAATGAGAGAATGGATGGATGGATGGATGGATGGATGGATGGATGGATGGATGGATTGTAGATCAGGGCTGACTTCTGTAAAGACAATCAGGTGGTGCCCAGGGACTCTAAAACCATTCTGCACTTAAGGCATTGCTACCACTCAGATCCCTACCTGTAAGCCTAAAATCCTGAAGATCAGCATGGCCTTCTCCGTGGGTGTCATCTGTCCAGGATGAAGTGGGGAGAGGTTGAGGGAACCAAGTGCAAGTGGACACAAGATGATCGTCTTGCCCCTTTTTCCTCCTTCAGGGGCCCCCATCTCTCAGGCATCTACTTAGAAATATAAGATAATACAACATGCAGTTTTGGTTTCCAAACATAGTCTTCATAAACTAAAGTGTGGATATTTTCCAGGTGTGTTTTCTCTTGTACAGTGATTCTTCTTTCTTGCTAATAAGATTCTAGTAACCGCACATTGTAAGAGGCAGAAAGATAAGACCTAGTTCTCCCCTCCCATGTCTCCCTTTGAAGTCTAGAGAAACTCTGTCCATTGCAAAAAAGAAAGGAAGAAAAAGAAATATTCAGACAAAGAAGATGTTTCTCTGAAGGAGAAGTTAGAAAGGAAAGAAAATAGAAACTGCTTTATGTATCAGAGTTAGCAAAGGCAACTCCATACTGTTTTTCTCAAAATTGTGTTTTTACTTCTCCTTTTATGTCACTCAGACAGCTACAAGTTGGGATATAACTTAGTTCCTTCTAGAGAATTTGCTGCACAAGTCAGGGAACTGCTGAGTCACCCACATAGGTCTGTACCGTGGCTGTGACCATGACACTCATGAGCTACTTTATAGAAAGCGTGTTCCTGGACAGTTTCAGCTTGGGTCATTCTCTGCTTGGGTTTTTTATCCTCAGTCATGGAGCTTCCGTGGCAGAAGCCATCTTTTAATTTCAATGAGTTGTGTTTCCTCCAGATCATTCCCTGAACGGGGAAATTGTACTCAGTTGTCCTTCCCAGCAGTCATCCATCTTAAGGTAATGAGGATAAAGAAGAAAGACAGAAATCTGAATATTTCTCAAGAAGAATCTCCTGTAACTCAACATTCCTAGTCACAGAAGGTCTACTTTGCTGCTAAGCTCTCCTAACCTAGCAGTTATGTCCATCAAATCACACTGAGTTGGCTACGTTAGAAGCCAGGGTAACACCATACAACCATATCTCCTAAGTGTTTGTAATGAAACCTGAAATAGTGTTCAAGGTAGAAATGTCTTTATTGCATTCCAGGGGAGTGCAGCTGGTATTCCCAGAAGTCCCAGGTACCAATGCAGGGGTATCTCCCCTCACCCAATCCCCCATTCAGCCTGGGACAGACACTCATGAGCACCAAGCAGGAGCTCTGTGCCTTGCTGCTGTTCCTTTCCTCAGGGACTGGACCATGAGCTATGCCTCTTGTGGGAGGAAACCATATTTAGGAAAAAGAAATAGTAAATAAGAAGCAATGTGGAGTTATAGAGAAAGCATGGGGTTTGGAATTAGATCTCCTGGCCTGCCAGCCCCCTAGTCATTTACAAGCTGTGTAATTTTGGGCAAGCTACTGAACGTCTCTGAGCCTCAATTTCTTCATCTGTAAAATAGCAGTTTTAAGGATTAACTGCAGTGATGGCACAGTGCACCTCTCAAAGAGTAGGCCCTCAATAAAGAGAGGCTGTTACTGGTGTTATCATTGGTGTGGTGTGGAATCCGATCATCTGGGAAGGCTGAGCATAGTTGGAGTAGTCATCTTGGAGTGGACCCTGAAGGATGGGTGGCATTAAGAGAGAAGGAGGTTGATGGTCCAGGCCAAGGGATGGTACCAAAATGCTTTTGTAGAAAAGGGATTATTGTCAGATTATCCAAGGGAATTAGGCTTTGGGTACTTGAAGAGGGCTGACCCTTTAGCTATAATATCTGAAGCAGCAATTATTCTAAAGAAAAATTCTCTGTTAAACAGTTTCTAGTAAAGCGGAGCCCATGAAAAAAACAGACTGCTAGGAACTCTTCTGTTTCATGTTCATTTTCCTCACAGGAGAGGGATCTACAGACAGAGGTCTGCATCGATAGACAGTTTCTAGTCTAAGAGAGGATGGCTCTGGCACCGTTTTCCTGGTTAACAACTTGTGCTGATAAGAGTAAAAATTGACGAAAATGCTGTGTGCTATTACAGCAAGTGTTGGTTCTGGATGTCCATCAGCTGGGTATTTTTATGTAATACCAAGCTGCCAGCTTTGCAGCCCTGAAGTTTGCAGCTTTATACCCAGATCCTATTTTTAAACACAGACGCACACACCCCAGTGCATGTAAGCAGTTCATTAGCATTTGTGGTCGGGGCAAATAGCTTCCTTGCTGAGCGGAAGAGAAACCTAACAGGTTTGTTATTTGTTTGTAACAAATGTATTCATTCCCTTTGCGCAAACCTGAATTATCTGTCCATGAAAATTCTGTGTTTTTTTAAACTAAAATGGAAGAAAAATTAGAGAGGGTAGAAAAATGACTGCCTGTCAGCATATTTAGAGGTTTTTTCGGCTTCCGGGGGAAAAAAGGGCAGGACTTAAAATCCTGTGTGTGGTTTGAGGACAGACTGAGGCATGTGTTTTGATTTGAGGATCAAAACTGAATCTTAACTCATAAACATTTTATACTTTATTTTTTAAAAGTTTAATTTTGCTTAAATGCAGATGAAACATTTTGTTCAGTTTCAGGGATTTATGAATGTGCATGCCTATCTAACAATCCTAAGGTACAGATTACTGTAACTGTACCTCTCTTGTCTATATAGTCACTTACCAAAACAACAATCATCATTCAACTGGATGTTGTACTCGTTGCCAGTGCTGAGGCTTCCCTGGGGCGTCTGGTTTGTATGTTTGTTTGCATGACCTCTATCTAGCTCAGCCAGTTTTTCACAGGCCTCAGTAGCCAGCAGGCAGACTCTCATTTATTTAAATAAATAGCATTATAAACAAATATGTGTTGAATGCCTACTAAGTGCCACACACTAAGAGGTACGGATAAAACTGCGTACACATTTTCCTGCCTTAAAGGATCTAATAGTAAACAAGCCATGATAACACATTGAAGGAAGTCCTACAGTAGGGAAAGGACTACTTGCCAAAAGAATTCTGCAAGACGCCCGGCAGCAAAGATTTCCCACAGGAAGTAATGAGCTGAGTCTTGAAGAGCAAGTAGGGCTTAGCGTGGTGAAGAGTCCAGGGAAGAACATTCTAGGTAGAAAGAACACATGGAAGGGCTTGGGTGGGAAGGTATTTGGTACAGTGACTGCATGGCAAGGTTCTCCAGGGAAGGTGCTAGGCACCACAGGGCTGGGTCAGTTTAGGTCATACAGACACATGGGAGCATACTTCTGCTTCCTGATAGGAGCCAGGGGAATCTTCTAACACAGTCTTGCATGGGTGGGACACTTGATAAATAAAAACAAACTGGCTCCATTACCTCACAATTAACATACAAAACATATTCATGCTTAAAAAAAAATAAAGTCCGTATTATCAGAAAACCGTTGATACCAAGAAAGACTGCATCTCAAGCTGCTGGAGGCTGGATCTCACAGGAGTCACTTCTGGAGAAATACACTCTTAATAGATATTTTAGAGGGGCGCCTGGGTGGCACAGTCGGTTAAGCGTCCGACTTCAGCCAGGTCACGATCTCGCGGTCCGGGAGTTCGAGCCCCGCATCGGGCTCTGGGCTGATGGCTCAGAGCCTGGAGCCTGTTTCCGATTCTGTGTCTCCCTCTCTCTCTGCCCCTCCCCCGTTCATGCTCTGTCTCTCTCTGTCCCAAAAATAAATAAACGTTGGAAAAAAAAAAATTAAAAAAAAAAAATAGATATTTTAGAAAGAAACCATATTCACAACCATAGAGAATGACTGCCTTCTGAGAACAAAGAGACCAGAAGCTTTTACTTAACATTGTATCACTAACTCTTTCCCTATCGCGTACAATCAAGAAAATGCTAAGAAAAAAAAAAAAAAAGGAAAAGTCTTCGTAGATCATTGTTTGGAAACCAACTTAGGCATCTCCTTGGGAACTGATAAATTACAGATTCACTTGTCACTAAGGAGAACCAAATTTTTCAGGCCTCCTGAAAGAGAACGGCAAACACTGTTTCCCTTTCACGAAGACTGTTTATAGAATTAAGCTAGAACACTGTTCTTTGCTATGGACTCTGCTTCCAGATAAGTGAGTACCACCTTCCAGGAATAGTAGGGAGTCTGATGAATGATGAGATTTTATAAATGATCTACCTATGGAAGTTCCTATACAAAATAATACAGATCAAAAGCTTATATAATACATAAAAATTAAAAATTAGTTTCAAACAAGGTCTGGAACATCTGAGGCAATACAGAATCATAAGAACATACAGTTCTCAACCAAATAAACTATCACTGGGTTTTGTGACAAGTTATTTTTCTACGAGAATGGCTTATTCCTCATATTTGATTTCATTTATACTCTTTTTGTGTCAATCTGTTTCCTGTATTCTGTAATGAAATGGTCTTTTGTTGAAACTGAAAAATAAATTATGAGCAGGTGTGTGTACTAATCTTTAGTTTCCAAATCTTAGTTGTAGAAAAAATGGACAATGTTACAGGTGGCATGGAGACATCTCGCCAAACCTATGATGACAAGCTCACAGCAGTGGAAAGCGACCTGAAAAAATTAGGTAATCTGCAACAAGAATGACCCATTAAACTAAATCCTCTAATTCTACATTAAAAGACCATAGCTCTTTAGAATGACATTGCTATAAACTCACATCCACCCAGAAGGACATTAATTTTTGTGTTGTGTGTTGAGTTTTTCCTCACAATTTAATTTAAAGGTGTCTACGTTTTAAAGTTAAAGAGCAATCTTAGAGTTGGATTCTCCCCACCCCCAAAAACTACTCCATATGCCAGTTAAAATCTGAAGACCAGGCACGCCTGGGTGGCTCAGTCAGCTAAGCATCCAACATCAGCTCAGGTCATGATCTCACAGTTCATGAGTTCAGGGCCCACGTCAGGCTCTGTGCTGACAGCCAAGAGCCTGGAGTCTGCTTTGAATTTCATGTTTCCCTCTCTCTCCGCTCCTCCCCTGCTTGTGCTCACTTGCGCGCGCTCTCTCTCTCTCTCTCTCTCTCTCTCTCTCTCTCAAAAATAAGCATTTGAAAATCTGAAGACTGGGGCGCCGGGGTGGCTCAGTCGGTTAAGCATCCTACTTCAGCTCAGGTCATGACCTCACAGCTCGTGAGTTCAAGCCCCGCATCGGGCTCTGTGCCGACAGCTCGGAGCCTGGAGCCTGCTTCGGATTCTGTGTCCCTCTCTCACTCTGCCAGTCCCCTGCTCGTGCTCTGTCTGTCTCTCCCTCTCTCTCAAAAATAAATAAACTTTAAAAAAAATGCTTATAAAAATCTGAAGACCAATCCTGATCAAAAAGTACCACAAATACACTTGAATAAAAGCTCTTTTATAAAATTTCCAGTCAATTCCTATTTGAAATATTCTAAACTGCATTGAAGAATTATGAAAATTAATTTTTTTTAAATGAAAGATTCCAGTTCTATCCTTGAATTTTTGTTTCCATTTTTTGGGAAGGAATTAAT